TTCGACCCCTATCACAGTACTCATCTTACCCTTTCTGAGCCTTGACGTCTGCCTGTCTCTTTTACATCTGTGAATCACTCTTCTGTTCTCCCTCTCGAATTCTTCTCATTTTGATGCTCCTCCCCCCTCTGTGAAGCCCAAAGTCGGCTAAAGGGCTAATGATAGCTATCAAAACGCCTGCCATTTGTTATAAATAAATAAACGAACTTGAAAGAAATTGCGACATGCCGTCATCTATTCTACCTTGTAGTCAAAATTAATGAGACATTAAGGATAAGAATGATGCACTGACCTGTAATTCTGAGTAGATCCAGCGTATTTGCAAAGGAAATTCTTTGGCATATTCAATTAAGTCATCGATGAGAAGTTCCACAAGACTGGAATACCACTGAGAGTGGTTGGATTGAGATGTGGAATAAACTTGAGAGGTGCTGCTACTGGGAATAGGTGAACCCTCTCTGTGGTGCTGTGGGGGGCATGTGGCTACGCGGTGCAGTTCAGAACCTAATATGAATAAGATGGTTGATTCAATCAAAATGTTGGTTTGCTTAAGATGTGTAACTCATTATATTTTAAGGAACTCCTCAAATTGATTGGATTCTTGTTCTTATCCTTAAGTTTAAGAAAGCCATCTTTAACTATAAGTTTTTTAGCTTTATTAAGTTTATATCATAAAGGGCGTAAAACAAAGTCCCCTTCTTTACTAGCCTAATAGGACTTATTCAGTTACCCTAACGTCTTCTACTTTAGGAGAGATCGGGACTGGCAATTTAGAAGAGTGGGAAGATTGGGATTTAAGCATCGCAGGCTGAACCCCGAGAGCAAAAAACCACTCACAATAGACATTTTCATCTTTGATTGAACCGCTCAATCGTAAATTAAAGAAACCAACGAAGTTGATTTCATTTCCAAATGCTATGGGACCTCCTCTGAAAACTACGCTACTTAAAAAATTACTTAAATACCATAAAAGAGATAACTATTTCAACAAGAGATGAAACTTCAGTGGCTACAAATCTGACCTCCAGAATGAACGAATTTAACACAAGGTAGATCCTTAAAAGCGGAAACAGTTAACTCAAGTTGAGTGTACACAAATCCGATATGTTAAAATGAATAACAGACTTAAAGGGGAATTAGCCTCACGGTTATTAAAAAAAGACTTAAAAGAAGCTTGGCTAAGCACAGAAGACTTATGTATTTAAAATAGAAAATGCTGCTTAATACAAATTTGTAGAATGGAATAAATTTGAATAAAAGAATCGAGCAGCACAGACATTTTACCTGTTGGATATGAGCCCACAATGTACGGTTGAAGAAGCAATATTTTTAACAATAGAAAATTGTGAAGAGTATTAATGAGTGAAGAGATGCACGTCAAGGCATGTAAACTTGTATTAAAAAATAGCCAGAATTAGAATCAATACAACAACAAACATGAGAAGCAATTACAAAACTTGTGAGATTAATTTAGCGGAAGAAATTCGTTTTATAACCACATAAAAAAGGGGGCGTAGATCATTATCCGAAAAGAGTGTTAATGGAAATCCTTGTGAAAAAAAAATCACCAAACATGGTGAAAAAATTTGTCGAAGCGAACCAAATTCTAAAACAGTCTTCAGAAAGAATAAATCATATTCGATTGTTGAAATCATTTAACTTCAGAGGACAAACTAGCAACCAAAGACTCAATCACGAATTCCCAATTAAAACGAATGACACTTTGGAAAGTGGGCATTGTGTTGAAACGGTGACTCGATACTCAGAGTGCATCAAATAATAGTAATGGTAGCATTCATCAAAATCAATTACTCAACGGTAGCCTAGTACTAGTGAAAAGTCATGGAAATGTTGCAATAAAAATAGTATTCTCTAGTTAATCTCTTAGACAGTAACTAATTTGACAAACGCATGTATTTATTCAATAGCTCTTTAATACGTAAATGACAGTACTCAAAATCTGATGATTCATTAAAGGCTAAAAGAACAAGACTGGTGCAGATAATACGAGTGAGTCAAAAATTTCTCAGACAATTGCCATAAATTTAAATAGAACCAAGATTTATAAGTTTAAATATGTTACTCTGTTCCACTATACTATGTTAGTTCAAGATCAAGACAGGTTGCACTTCAAAGTAGCTAAAAACTTTCGACCCTTTAAATAGATAATTATGAGATAAAATACAACATAAAATTTTTTAACTAAACGAGATTGGAAGCCTGTTCAGATCAAAGAAGCTTTACAACAGGATTATGAGGATTCGGCGTCATGTAGAGCAATCATTTATGATTGGATTAAACGATTTAGAGGGAAGGCTACAATTTGATGAAGACCCACAAGGAGGGTAATCCATCACAACAAGAAATAAAGAAAACATCTCTTTTGTGCAGAACCTTACCATTGAGGAAATTGTCAATGAAGTATGAATCACACATAGATCAATATTTTCAATTCTCATTAAAAATCTTGGCTTGAGCAAGCTCTCGATGAGTGGCGATGGGTTCCAAAAGCGCTACGGGAGCACCAACTAATCCAAAGAGCTAAACTTTCTTTAGCAACTAATGAAACCTGGATCTACCAATTTGATGTAGAAAACAAAATTCAATCAGACGAGTGGTAACCGAAGAGAGCATCTGGACTTGTTAACTTCAAATCTGAAAGGTCCGTTAAGAAGGTCATGGGCACTACCATTTGGGATTCAAAAGGAATGCTAATGATAGGCTTTCTGGGAGGGCAGAAAACGATTACAATTTATTCTAAAGGCGTTTTGAAGAAGTAGAAATTGCTAGCCAAAAAGAGTGCCAGCAATCACAAAATCATATTTTGTTTCATTACGATAATACTTGTGTACTTTCTTCAAGAGCTATCCGAGCCCTGTAGAGCGAATTTCAATTGGAAACATTTCCACATCCTACTTAGTCCAGATCTAGCTCCCGCAGGATATTTTGTTCCAAAAACTGAAAGAACGACATAAAGGAACTTGATTTACGTCTTTAGATGATGTGAGAAAGCATGTAATTTCATGTTTTCAGAGACAGCCAAGAAAATTTCACCAGTGTATTCGAATCACCTGAATAGTCAGATTGAAGAAAGTAAGTAACTATAAGTGTAATGACCTATTGATGGCCGAGAGTTCAAGTTTTGCGCAAATCTCTTTCGTTGCATATGTTTCGATAAGATTAAATGATGTTAGCATTATACCCTGAAGATGTAACGACTAATGTACCCAACCGCGAAGTCAGAGACCACGCATTTAATGTTGATCAACAGCGTTTAAGCCAGACTAAAAAAGGATTAAGGATTCGAGCCTCTCACCATAGAAGAATTTTGGAAAAATTCGATTGAATGAGGTTGTGAGTTCAAATTCTAAATGCTTTAAAATAACTTGTTCATAAAAATAGATTCCTCTTACAAAGGCTGATTAGTAGCATTGAAACTGAAAAAAAACAAAAACACGAGCCAGGTATATTCGTAAACAGTACACTGTTTTCTCTCAAATATATGCAAATTAAATGAATCTGTTTAACGGCACGAATTTGCGCATTTATGAGAGGACGGAGATAATTCATTTGCCACGAACAAACGTGATAGCTACCTTTTACAATATCACCCCATGTGTGTGTGCCTCAGTAGCTGACCGTATTTTGGGTACATTTTTGACCTCGATCTCATGACATTCACTTGGTATTAAATGTGAAGCAATGCGCACCCTGGTTACGCTTTTAAGACTACCCGCTTTGAAGAGAACAATAAATGCCCGCACTATCATGAATTTCGAGAATAAAAATTTATTGTAATTTAATTATTTGTTTCCATTTTATCATCGTTCTGTTACAGTATGCACATTTTAGTCCCAGTTTTATTCTGTGAGCAGTCAATCAGGGCTTTTGTGAGCATTAAAATTCATCTAATAGGCAGAAAGGTATAGCAGAAATATTTCTGCTGAAAATATTTAACAAGGCACGTACGTCGATCACAGCTTTGGTGATTTACCAATTATCAATTCATGAATACGTAGGTTAGACTTACGTTTATCAAATGGTTCCTTATTTACAGCATCAATGACTGGCCTGGCAATAAAGTGAATAGCATACAATCAAAGACTTGGCTCGAAAAGCATGACTTAGTTAATTAATATTTTATTAAAATCGATTAATAAAAAATTTTAAGCACTTTGTACACTTGGTAAGTAGGTCGAAATTTGGTTTAGAAGAAAACGAAATTAGTTCAAAGAAATGTGTATTACTTCTCGAAATTGGATTTGAAGTGCGTAAACGATGAATCTAGGAATCAACATTACATTATTCAGGGAATTGACGTAAAGAACGAAGATGAGTGCTTACACTTCCAGAGGAAAGGTCATTTGGACCCTCCAATCGAGAAATCACAAGCGAGCAAAAAGATTTAATTGTTAGAATTACGTTTCTAAGAGTTCAATGCCCAAATGCTTCCAGAAATTCCTCCTACAATATATATTTATATAGCGACAAAGAGGAGAACTACGCCGAAAACTAGGAAAAAAATCATGAGAACAAAGTTATGAGTCGTAGGAATTAAGGGCTCTAGTATGCGATAGGCACTAAGCTAAGACAACCATACCGCAGTCACAATAGTTCTACTTTTTTTATAGACTTCTAAGTATCTCCAGAGAGACGTATGGCGAATCCCATTTCTGAAAAAAAACATCTAAAGGTACGCCGAAATTTCAAAGGATTGCTAGCACTTTCAGGTATTGTAATTTGGGTTAATGAAAAATAGAGACCTGATCTTAGCCGATCCCAGAGAACATTATCTACCAATGTAATATACTAAATCGTGAACTCGTCTATACGTACGTTCATTAAGTATTGCTGGCAAATTAAATTCTGCCAAAAAATTACTTTAACATAAATGCAATATAGTCAGTATACAAGCGTCAACATCATAGCTAAAAGTTTTAAAATTAATATTTACTTTGTTGAATCAGTAACACAATGCCCAATACATAGCTAGGCTGTGGATTTTATGTTTTATAATCGAATAAAAGCTTCAGTCATGTCTGGTATAGCCCCATTAATGTGACGCATAAAATATCATTACATTAGTATAGCTGTTGGAATATATTACTTGAGAGTAACAAGACAAAGAAAGCTATCTAGCCCTTTTCCAAGAAATGAAACGTACCTGAGGAGATACTATAGGAACCTGACCCGGAAGATGAGGAAATTTCGCCGACCTCTGAGACAGATTTCTCCGCTGAAGCAGAAAATCTTACCGACCGGCCTCCCGCTGCTGCTGCCACGACTGTTGCATTTGTCAGTAGGGGTGGAGATGTGGAGATGTTCACAGCGGACGCAGTGGCGTTAGGTGGTCCCTTGGCGATCTCATTAAAAACTCTCCGGAAGCACTTTTGTCTCCACTCCGAACAAACCATATTCATATACTGCTCCAATATCAACTGACCCAAGCCGTTGGAGCGAAACGCGAAAGCTATATGACAAGAAGGGAAAAAAGCAAGTGGATAATGACCAACTTATAGATGTCAAAAAATTAGGGAGACGTGAGAACTCAAACGCACCGGGATTGTCAGCAGGTATGTTGGCTTTGAGTAGATTGACAATCAATTCTAAATGACGCTTGGATTCAATGCAAGCGAGTAGGAGGCTGGATTGAAAATAGATTTGATCGCTGGCTAGCACGGCCCACATAAAGGTGCAGGCAGGGACCAACTCAGTCTCCAAATGAGAGGTAATAACCTGATAATAGTGTTGCAAAAAGCAGTTGCAGAAAGTTAAAATTAAGCAAAGTCATTGAGAAAATAAGCATTCCTCAAAATAGATTTACGCAAATAAACACAGTATATAATTTATTCAAGACACAAATAAATATTGACGCGCAAACATTGAGTACAACCCAACCAGCTACGCCGTGATTACATGCAAAATAGATTCATACAACAAGAATCCATTAATTATTAAAGATTGTCATTTAAATAGATTCCTAAGACAATTAAAGGGGTCCGTTTTCAGAGTTACTTCTCCGTATCCTATACAGCAATCGTCCATTTATTAATACTATCATTATTATTACAGGTAACATTATTCAGACGAATAAATACAACTATTTAAAAAGGGGAAAGAGGATTAGAACCATGGGAATCAGGATTTTTGCCACTTCTCAAATTCATTGACATTACTATTATTCACTACTTAGAAAACATACATAATCACACAATGGAATGATTCTAATACGCTGCCCTTGTGTTTTACAAAACCCAAATCAACCGGAAACTAGACACTTCAAGTCGTCAATCATATAGCGTGCTCAGCAAAGAAAGCAGTTTCCGCACATAGTCGGCAAGACAGTTTTACTCATCTCAATAGCAACGAAAATATGAACCGCTCAATCTGTTTCATCCCTGTTTCCTAAGAATCGATTTATTTCCTTTGCCCAGGCCAACCTATTCTACTAAGAAACTTAAACGTGTGTGATAATATTCGAGTTTAAAATCGGAAAAAACGTTAAGACATCACGTGGAGCTGTTATGGGAAATTTCCGGAGACATTCATTTTTTTATAAGTTCCCATACTTGTAATTGTAATCTGAAATCTGGCAAAGAACTACGTAGAAATAATAGTTTGCTTGCCAGAAACGGAAATAACATTCGATATAGTGACTAATGCGTTTAGACTATTCGCTTATACAAAATTACAATTAAAATTTCAATTTCGAGGGCAAATTAGAAAGTACAAACCTTTCTGAGCTTATCATAATACTGGAAAGGGAGGACATAAAGTTCCCTGTAAATCAATGTGGCTTGAGGAGAGACAGACTCCTGGAAACTGCAAATCGGAGTTGTTTTTATTTGCGAGGCAACTTGCTGTTGCTGTAAAGATTGTGCAGTAACAGATTGTGAAACGGAGATCGATGAAGTGCTAAGAGATGACTGACCCCCGTCTGGTGAATCGGCCCCAGGAGTACCACCACTACTACCGCCCCGGACTCCTCGATTGGCCCCCAACAGTGTCGCCACCTCCAGACTAGGAGAGGAACCGAAAGAAAATCCTTGACCACCACTGTTGGTGCTGGTGCCACTACTGTGACGACGAGCTCCAAGTTGCAATTTTACCAACACTACGGAGGCTAAAGATGAGAAAAATTATGGGCACATATGGGTACACACCATCCAATTTACATGATAGCTATAATTCACGTAATAGGAAAAGGAGGCATACATTCGGAATAAGACTAATTAAAATAATGGAAAGGCAGCCCTTAACCAACAATAACTATTTAGCCAACCCCGACTCTGAAACGTCATACTTCTAAATAAATTTGCAGGCTGTTTTCGCATAAAAAAGCACTGAACCGCTTAAATTTAGAGCGTCTTATTTGTACCTAAAGTCATAAAGTCATTTTATAAAAGAAGAGACTTTGAAATAACATAAACGAAGCCAATCCGCCACCTTGCATCAAGAAAAAAATGTCAAAACATTAGGTAAGTGCCTTCTAAAAGCAGCAGATAAGAGGTATTGCGCAAAAATAAGATGACAAAAATAAATTCGATGAAAATGTAGAGACTGCGACCAACAAACATAATAGGATGACATAAGCGCCAAGTTATACTCCTTTGAGAGATGCAAATGACATAAGCTTCATGGAAGTAAACAAAGATGCCCGGAGAGCCTGATGATAGTGTGGTGGGAAAAAAAATAAATTGTATTTTTTGAGAGTTAGGCTTCATTTCCGCTAAGTTCAAAAGAGCTTAATTATTTTAAAATAATTATTCGAATTCATTCTCGGACTACTGGTGGAGTTGTAAACCACAATGATAGCGACCGTCATTATATCATTTATTATTATGTTTACAAGTAAACATTCTAACAAGTATAGAAAACATTAGGAAGATTTCAAGGCTTCTATAGTTATCCAATTGAGAAACAAGCGATTTACGACCATATTTGAATAATCGATCCTACGTATCACGATGAGAATAACTAGATTTACGTCAAAATTCCCCACAACAACTTTCTGAGAAGGTAAGTTATAGATTGAATTCATTTTCAAAGTTTAGAAAAAAAAGGGAATAGGATTATGTCCGCAGATCTTGTTTATACGAAAGATAAAGTGAAATACCATGCGCGGTCAGGCTAATTAAAAAGAAGAATAGTACAACATAGACAGATGAATCTGAATGCTATTATAACTACAATTGAACACGGGTTAAAGTTATCGGGGAATAAACATTTAAATCACATGTTTGAAGGGAGCTTATTAGATACAATACAAAATGGAAATCGTAGCACAGTGGAACTTACCTTGACGTTTCTTCTTATCCTCCCGGTAAGTCACCTCAACTTTCTTGTAGCCAAAGGGGAACTCCCTACGAAAAAAAAATTAAAATTTGGAAGAAGTCACGGTTTTAAAATGACCGCTTAAAAAAAGCAATTCGGAGAACAAAATTTTAGCTACTTCATTGGAGCAAACAGCTTTGGTTGCAAAGATAAATAAAATACGTAGGGAGTCCCTCCCAATCTTAGTATAGTAGCCAAGACATGGTAAAATTATAACCGCCAGACAACTGAAAGGAGATAATAGTAAAATCAATGATTGACCAGGGAGAAGGGGTACAAACTCGACTAAGGGCGTAGACAAAGTTAAAGATTTCAGCTTCATTTGGCTTTAAACTCGGATTATGCAAAAGTTTCCAAAATGGGAGATTTCCGATTCAAAATTCAGGTCTCATTATTCGGTCTCGAGAGAACAATGCGAATTGTTGTCTAAAATATTCCGAGCTTACTGGCTGATATATTGCGAAGACTTTTCCAAAGGTTGATAAAGAGAAATGATTTTAAAAATTAAACTTAAAGCTATTTGGACTTGTAATCTATACGAATACAGGATATTCAAAAATATCAAAAGGCTTTAATTTGTAATATATAGCTTGCAAATATACGGAAAAAACGATGAAGGTCTTAAAAGACTCAGACTTTGTAGATGTCCATGATAAGTTTACGTAATGTCAACAACCTTGTTTAATCCTGCCATATGCTGTGTGAAAACGTAGTGCTTCACGAATTGCTAAGTAGGCTTCAGCATTTGTTTGGGTAGAACGAATTAGTAGAATTATGTATACAACATAATTTTGGGAGTAGAGGGAAGAATCCAGAAGATTTGAAACGGAAATGGTGCTTGTGGGATTGAATTTTAATTAGGATTTTGTTGGTAGACAAAATATGTAGTACGGATGGCATGCGATTGCATTATTTCAAGTTTGTGGGACCCAAATTTGGTTCAATCTCATAAGTGGACAACAGTAAAAAAAGTGGTTATTCGAGAGAACTATACCAAAACCTGAAATACATTTCGTCTATGCCACTATAGAAAAGGAAAAAAGTTGTGGAGGCATTAAATCTGTCTAAGCATCGTAGGATGTTAACAAACAAGATTACCGAGAATAGCCAGACACTACAAAAGAGGAGTGAAAAAAAGGTAAGAGGATTGATTTTTAGAAAATCGATTAATGAGAAAACCCGAGTCATATTCAACATGGAAAGATTTAAGCGGTTTGAGAAGGGTGATAGAGAGGTAAAGGTGTAATTTGAAAGCTCACAAAGTAAATGCAACAGATCACTAGGGCATAAAATTGGCAAAGGGTGAATAGTCGAGTTTTATTTGATTCCGTCGTACAATCAAATAAGCGTCTTAACAACAAGGTTTAGTTAAATCGAATCACAAAGTCCCGAAATAAAGCCAAACTCAACATAAACAGGCGAAACCCGCATATTTACTATTTTGGCCTAACAGGACTGACTTTTCGAAGGAAAAAATTAAACTTCAAAGTTGTAAAGGAGACGGGCGAGATTAACATAACATTGGACGTCAGAATTTAAAATTTGAATGACAGCAAATGAGTAACGCCTTTGCCAAAATGATAAAATAAACAAAAGTAATATTTCGCCCGAAAAGGGTGAAGCAAAATCTCATTAAAAATACTAATCATCCTCAAATCAGTAAACTAAAAAGGAGGAGTCAAAATTAGCCTAAAAAAGAATAGGTCGATGAATATGACTACAAATAGAAATTCAAAAAGATCAGTTATTGATTTTCAATAGGAATAGAACTTAGTAAGTCAAAAATGAAAAGAGTTTGGAAAACCTACTCAAAAGTGATTGTCTGATTAGAAGACCCAGAGTAGGCCCGAGCAATTTCCAAACCATCCACAGTGACCGAGTAAACTCCACAACCGTCGCGACGACTAGATGATGGTGGCATTGGCAACAATTTGGCATTCGATAACTGTACAAATAAAAAACGGAAGTATCTAAGACAGATTGAAATGGTGATGGTTTACCAAAGAGGAATGTTTGCGCCCACCTTGACTTCAAGTGAGCGAAAACACCTAACCTCACTCCTTCGCCTCTCAGGATCAGCATCCACCGCAGAATCAGCCCGAGTGTTTCGACAGTGAGCAGCCAGGGATTTTAACCACCGAATATAGGCCAGATCGATAGGAGCTGGCCCAGAGAAACTGCCCGTAGAACTAGAATTGGAACTGACACCAACAGTGCTTGCAGAACCAAGGATCTTTGACCAGATTGAGCCGGGTACTTCACCGAAGCCACAAAAACGTGGAAATCCAGAAGCACCCAGGTCAAGATTTCCTGTGGTGTCAAACCTGCCCGCGTAGGCCTGTGGATCAAGTTCTGAAGCAGCGGCTGCTGTAGCTGAGGCAGGCGGAAAACTGACATAACCACCACCGTTAATACTTACACTTCCACTGCTGTTATTATTTGCATTGGAGCTTAAACCGATAGTACCACTGGTGCTACTACTACTGTTATTAGTAGTAGTAGTACCGACAGTTGAAGTGTTAAAACCATGTTGAGGACGAAGAGAAATAATTGAGGGATTGGTGTTGGCTGTAAAAGGACTGGCGACAGAAGACATCGTGGAAGTACCTGTCTGAGAACTAGTAAAGGAGAAGGGTGGTTCAACAGCGAAAACGAAGTCTTCACGTTCTCCGGTCGAAGAAAGGAGCAGACCAAAACAGTGTTTTTTGCTGAAAAAGGAAGAAACAATCCTGAGAAAAACCAATCCAATAAAAATAAATTAAATGCGAATGCAAATTGGTCGTGTTTCTGATTATGTGAGAGCAAAAAAATCCATAGAAATCCATTCAATAATTGGGTGTCTTTAATATCCCATAATAACCTAAATAATGCATTAGTCAGTTAGCTTCACACTATTCACCGCTCTCTATAACCCAATTGAAGTGGCTTGTGCTGCTTTAAACTGATTTTATTCATGCATCCAACTGAGGAATTAAATTAAAATTTAATGCACATTACTGCTTTATTGCAACCTAGAATTGTTTCTAATTTCAACTTCCACGCATCACTAAAACAATGAGGCAAAAGAATTGTCAATTTTCAATCCACGTCTACCACTGCTTGGTGTTAGGTTAGGAATCAATTTCGATGACAATTAAATGGGCAGTCGCATTGATTCCTGAACAACTGGCCATGAGCATAGACCTGTATATTCATTTAATTTCGCTTTTACCAATCTACAATTGTCAAAACAAGGAGTGTTGATTAAGAGACTTACTCGAACATAAGAGGATGAACGGGGAAAAAGTCACATCGTGAGAGGTCAATCCTCTCAGGCTTTCGCTTATCTCCATCGGTAAGGGTGATAATACTCTGCTCCCGATCAAGCGACGCATACAGAGGTTTCCATTTCTTCTTTTGTGGCACCCCTGTAAACAGGAAAAGAAAAGAATACACAAATCAGCATGTATACTCCATGTACTGATTACCACGAAGCCAATTAAGAAGGATTCGATAAGTAACCATCGTGGCACATTAGAGAACGACTATTAACCTTTAAAGCTTATGCCACACCAAAAAAGAAGCGATGTAAAAATGAGCTCCTATTAGATTGATAAGCAAATCGAGGAAACATTTAACACAGTTATGTTGAATATAGAGCAGGACTATATACAAGATCAAAAACAACGATCCCAGATGACTGGACAAGAAATAATTTGATCATCATGGTGGCCCAATAGTGCATCCACGAGAAACCTTCTTACAAAGGTTAAGTTTTTAAATTGAAATCAAGTGTACTTTAATCTCCCTCGCAGATCTTCCCAATTTTAAAACAAATTTGAAGCGAGAAAGTTCAAGCAAACGCCGTTCAAAGGGGATTAGACAAGGCACCATTATTCATTAATAAGAGAAATACGCGTTTCTAAGATCATCTTTGCTACACTGGGAGAGTTGATGAGACGGCACCGAAATTCCCGTCCTATTCATTTTACCCATGTGCTACAAGCATAATTGCATAGAGATGGAGAATTGCGATATTATGGAGTTGTGTTCTACACCGCACCTGAATGAAAAATAAACTCCAACATATGCTTGTGATTTCTGATTTGTACCCTCCACACTGGTTCCTTTTCTTTGAAATTCTATGACTTTCAGTAGAGTTAGCTGGTATGGAATCGAAACAAATATTTTCGTTTCACCTGAATGAAGCGCATAAGCTTCATCTCTCTCCCATGCACTAGATTATCGGTTTGAATTGATCTGAATCACCATGGTAACATTTACCGTTTCAATTACTGGCTAAAAAGGAGGCCATCCATCTGTGCCAGATCCTATCCTATACAGGCTTATTTTAATTTCCACATGAAATAAAAACATTATTGACTTAAAAGTAAGGGACTTGAAAATTTAACTTTATAAAAGGAGCAATAGGTAATAATAATAATAATAGCCAAAATAACTTATGCATTTATATTCATAAATTAACTAGTGCTAATTTCAATCCCTAACTTTGAGATAATAAACATCAGTATTCGCATTGTCCAACTTCTGTGCTTCCAATGCTTTTGCTGCAAAAATGATTGCGGAAAAATCAGTTTATCAGTAAAATAGGATAAAACGATGAAAAAAAACTAAAGGAGATGGGAGAAGAGAAAAAGTGGGGACTGAGAACGGAGGAAGAGATGGAGAATGGGGGGGGGGGGGGGGGGGGGGGGGTGGGGGATAAAAAAGACAAGGCTTGTGACAGAATGCGTAACCACCCAAGGACTATCAAAGGGCATAATGGAAACAGCAGCAAAAAATGAGACCGCCTTATGCTCTTTCTTACGTTCAATGGGCACAGAGAAAAAAACAGGTGGGGAGGAGACGTTACAACCAGGAAAGACGAAGAGGGATGATATTCACCTTCCCTATTTGATTCTACCAGTGTATTAATAAGGTAGGTCCTGTAGAAATGAGTTATTTACTTATAAGGAAATATCAGCAGATATTAAGCTCTCTAAAGAAAATATATGCAGTTTTGAAATAAGAAAAGGTTTGTAAGGTTTACAAAGTGGTAAACATCTGAAAATCACTTCATACATCTCACATGAGAAATCTATAAGCAGATTAAGGCGTTTAGACCCCGTTCGTGCAATCTACTAGTCAGGTGCATTCAACAGTAGGGATCCTATTACACTTGTAAAAAAAGAAAAAAATTCTTTAAACTGCAAATCATGAGACAATTCACAAAAATAGTTCTCCTGGAGGGCCATTATCGTTCAAGACCATTCAGACGAAGATATCTCAAGCACAACGATTTAAATGCATTCCCTAATGGGGCACTTACTTTACAGTTCCTGCCTCAAGTTGAGTCCGATTATACTTCCGCAACTGCGTACACAAGTATTCTAGCTCGTACAATGAATGACAGAAAATATTTGGCAATGGCAACATTCCTACTTCATTTATAGAATAAAAAATATAAGAAAATCACTCATTGGGCTTCAGAAACCGACGTAAAGCATCCCACTAATGAAATTAAGAAATTTTTATAAAATGCATCGATCCCCCTGTAGAAGTTGAACATCACGGAAGTCTCATTTAATTCCGAGATTTATGAAGAAAATTATTTTTAGAAGGCGGTCACTAGCACCTGTGAAGAACTAGACCACGCATCTGGGCGTCTTGAAATGAGATCACATAAACACAATTGAAACATGTTACAATGTCTTCAGGAGAATTTCTGAGAAAATAATAAGTGGTGAACTGAAGGCAGCAAAACTTCAAGTCAGGCTTGAGTTGATTTATTCCATAAATTCACCAAAAACGTTATTTCTAGTTATTAATTAAAAAAGATATGAATTGTGCAATTCGAGATTATCATTTTCGTCTCCATCAAACGGGAATAGGAACATATTTGTGTGTGCGAAAAATACATTAAGCATATATTTTCACAGCAACTTGCAACTACTATAACTTAATTAAATTTCAAAGAGACAAAGGACGCAGAGTTTAAAATTTGACTTAAGAGAAGAAACTCTGCTATTCCAATCTCCAGTGATTGATTAATATAGCGCCGAAACCCATACATCTTCAAGTTCAAAACGTATCACAATTTGGTCAAACGAGCTTTGTAAGTATATAAGCATGGTAACATTCAAAAACGGAAGAGAGATATGAAATAGTAGTAGGAAATATAATTTATTTTATGAGTATTTTACTTCATAGAATAGCCTAGCAGTCAGGTTATGCTTTGATGCCATTATTGCGTATTCATTAGAAACACATAAACAAAGGCTTAATTCCCTATTAAAAATGCGCGAGTTGTTTAAAGCTCTTTATACGACTTGGTTGTAAATGCAGTGTTCCAATATAAAAGACCCTATCATCATACTTGCATCAGCCCAATCATACATATATGATTCAAATGATCGGCATTGATTACCATTTCTTTATCCACACACTTTCAGCTTTTACTTGTAAATAGCTCACCTGTAAACCAACTCTATCTGTATAGACTCAGATGCAACCCTTCCACTGGTTACATTCAAAAATTTAGTTTCTAACACACCTCTAGCCACCTAGTACTACTTCTACTGCATAACCCTATCTAAAGCACTAACTTTACCTAATTCTAACCTCTATGCATCGAAGCTATGTTTAGAACCACACTCTCAAGTAAAATGTAATCAATTTGAAATCAGAGCGGAAAAGCTAACATTTTAGTAACACGCAAAGAATCCAGTCAATGGGGCAATATGCAATATTTCAAGAATTGAAGGTATCTCATGATAAAGAATGCATTAAAACCACAAAGTAAAAGTCGTTCTTAAAGCACGTGTTCTTCATAAATGAGAACCTTCGAAATGAAAACGATCACCACTTTTCAACTAGCAACAGCAGTAAGCTATCTACGAGACAAGTATAATAAATAGATGAATGCAAGAAAACTACAGTGAAATTATTCATTCACAGTTGAAGCGAAGCAAACGGAACTTACAAAGTGACAGTTCACCATGTATTTCCACAATAGCTCCTGGTGAGGGTGGACGTCGGTTGAAACTGATGGCCATGTAAATTGAATCCTGTGAAGGAATGGCCTAGAAGTGTAAATTAGAATTATCTTCAACACTGGGAAATGGAATATATCATTGACTCTCCTTTATATAGACATATAGCGGGTATCAAATACTCTAATATTTTGATTATAAAACCGTCCGTAATCTGGCCCTTGATCGAATTATGAAGTGAAACTAAAAGAAGACTTTTAACCCTTCTGTAGCTATAACATAGCAATGTTGCCTTGAAAATTATCAGCCTTAGACTCCCATCAAGGCACAGGCACAGCTATGAGAAAATATAGCACGATTGCCTCTCCTTCTTGGAATTAAAAGGGAATGAGATCTTAAAACCACAATTATGCCTATCCGCAAAACCCATGGCCCTCATTCAAATGTTTCTTCTAAGTAATTATATATGCGTAGTGTGCATTAGAATAACTCTTTCTAAAGGTAACTAATTACTGAAAGCGATATTTTCTAACTTTCAACTTGGGTAGGGAGGGGAATCATAGAGTCCGCCGGATGAGACTCAATTTCAATCATCCAGACATAATCAGCGCGGTTAGCCTTTCTGCTCAGAAGGTATGCAATAATGGAAATTGAACTCGTAACAACCGACACGACATATTTAAATACTAAGGCAGAAAAAACCATTAATTATCTGTATTTGGTGCTCAGAATCTCCCTAAAATGTCTATGCAAGCTAACAAAAAATAATATTTGATTATTATTGTTATTACTGCTATGTGAATAGAAGCTGCCACCAAATACTGAAAACCCTAAAATAACTCGAGTAATAATTACAATGGACTCGAATTCCCGAAACCCCTTGATCAAGTTATAAGAAGTCATTGCTATCACCTATAAGACCAATTAATTTGTGCCCAATTCATGAAAAGATGAAAAAGTAAACGCACCTTAGGACCCCGTAGAATGGGTTTCAGTTCCACTGTTGTAGGCTGGTATGGAGAATTAGGCTGATTGAATTGAGCTTCAATGGCAGCAATCACATTCTCCACCGAGGTGTACCAGAGATTGTTGTAGCGAATTTTCACCGTTGACATGTAGAGTGGTTTTGTGAAGGGAAGAGCCTGAGTAGTCGATTGTGCAGCAAGCTCCGCAGTTTCCCCTTCGCCATTACTAAAGTCCATTGAATCTAGGCCCGTAGCAGTAGTGAGAGAACTGTTAACACTGTGATTTTTGCTGCTTGTTTGAGGCGTGGCCCACCATACTATGCTTGTAGCGATCTTGTATTTCAAAATACGAGTTCCATCGTATATCAAGAGTGTGTAGAGGCCTGGATCTGAGTCACAGAGTCGTAACAAGTAACTAAACGGTCCATCTAATTGAAAAGGAACGAAGAAATTAAAATACAATCTTGAATGCGATCACCACCAAAATAAAATGTACGCACTTTGGGGGAAACGGTTTTATGAAGTAAGGAAAGAAGCACTATACTCACCATCCCCTCCCAAAGGAAAAAAATCAACGCAGTCATAATCCTTCACCAATAATCCCCTGCTGTGATTGTTCCTACAGCGCTATCAAAAGTCAATAAAAGTCATGATCGATAAAAGATGAAAAAATCCTCCATGTGGGCTCAGAAAATGGAAAACACTCCCCTGGTCTACTAAAGCAAGTCTGACAAGCATTTATACATAAAAGCTAGAAATGTTCCAATGAATGTCGAACAAGAAAATCTATTAGAAAGATAGGTGATTAAGTTGTGAGAACAAAGTACTGAGAAAAGATATTGCAGTAAGATGCATGGATAAGACAGACTAGCGGTTGAAAAAGAGAGGAAACAACTATTGACTTTTAATAAAAGTCTAAATAGCCCAAATAGCTTTCTAAGCGGAACTAATAACAACACCCTTGACTTGAGTAGAGAGGTGTTATTCAGGAATCGCCTTTATTAGATGCTCATATTCCACAAATAATCTTGAGAGGAAATGCACATTGACAGATGGATCACCAACACTGGCAGAAAAGGCACTCTCCGGTATATATATCACAGATGTAAAATAACAAGCGAGTTAATGCTGATGAGGCATCAAATAGAAGTCCCATGGCAGAGAGCTGTAATACTGTTACCTAAAGCAAAGATTGAAATTTTTACCATAAAATAGCGCTTGAATAAGAAAAGCAATAAAATAGGCCAAGTAAACGTAGACAAGGAAGTCGTTGCCAAACTTCGGCACAACTCGAGTCATTACTAATTCGTTAATCCCATATAGCTCAAACAACTAGTTTTATTGTCATAAATCTCAAATTTCCAAAAATAATAAAATAAAGGCGAGAGCCGAGATCAGGAAAAAATATGAGTGAGGACAAGCATAACCATACCTACTTAAACCAAATAGGTAGAAAAAGCATACTCTGTTTAAGAAGTTCCTGTTGTTCGAGAGAAGTGCTGTCTTCGTGAAAAAATGGAAGACGCTCGATTATTTCCGGGTAGACCTTCTAGAAATAACAAAAAAAATCATTCTACCAACCATTTAATAATGAAACAATCATATGAACTAACTACTAAAAATTAGATCAGCTCCTAATGCTTCGTCACACACGTGAACATAATTTTTGGTAGATCGCAAGCTAAAAAAATATTAAGGTTCGTTTTATAGCGCCACCTTAGATAAATAACAATTATCTAGACCGATATAATCGCAAAACTTGCCTTAATAAGTGATGTAAACCTACTTTTAGAAACTATTTTTGTTCCCTTTTTGTATTCCTTATTTGCTTTCCTTCTGTTGCCTTTAACTGATATATTGGAACCATTGGCCTCCCATAAGTATTTATCGATCAATAGTTAGTAGAATTTAGAATGATTTAGAATAAACATAGCCTTCCTATAAAAAAATAAATTAACAATTAACAAATTCTGAAAACCAGTAAAGAAATAGTACTTGACGCGTAACTCCAACTTCCCCATCTTCAGGGATGAAGGCTTGCATTAGAGAGGGGAATTTAACCATTAACTTGGAAACACGAACACAAACACCTAAATAAAGACAAATAAATGACCAACTGGTGTGAAATTTTACATTATCAATTGCACAGTGAAGCTAAGTCGATCAATACGCAATATACCTTGCAACAGGCTAATAGGAATTAATAAAACTAAAAGGAGAATCATACAGTTAACGCGAACCTTTCATTAAATGACCAATAGATGAAGAGGACAGGAATATTATGACTTCAGTTGATTACTTAATAATAATTTCGAACACTCACAAGACTATCAAACCCACGTAGGGCCACCGTTTTCCGGAGAAAAACATTCGTGATCTGTGCATTATAATTTGCATCTGAAGACTAAGCCTATCGAAACTGACATGACATTAACACATAAAATTGGAAAATATATACCTAAGTAACACTAAATCCAATCAGTAGAAGAACTTTGGAATTCTGTATAAATGAGACCAATTTGCCCCCCCCCCCCCCCCCCAGCCAAAAAAAACTATTAGCTTCCGAAGGTCAATCAGAATAAATCAGACTGTTAGCTCAAAATGCGGCGTTTTGAATTGAATATCACTGGTAGATTAGACGGAAAGGAGAAGGAATGGAGAAAGATTTGTGTGAGACAATTGGATAAAAATCAGGGTAGGGATGACCGAAAGGGAGTTGTGACCTACTCGCTGATTATTTCAATTCGCTGAGTAGAATCAATTTGCTTGACTCACGTGCTTCCCATAGGACGCTGCAAATGCCTTGACAACAACCAGAAATCAATAAAAAGCTTAAAACCTGAGATTTAGTGGAATAAGTCATTTTTTAATGTTGACTGTTATCCTCTACCTTTAACCCCCATGTTCCTTAAGCACACAAATAGTCACATTCCTTTTTGTCTATTTTGACAAAGTTGGCAGCATTACAAGATGTCGTAGAAACAGAGCAATATATCAAACTAAATAATATCACTAAAGTTGAAATTTTTTAATTAAATTGAATTTGCGGTTTCTGATGGCCACATATGGACATATCAATAGCAATTGAACAGACCTTGAAGTATACCATCATTTAATTAAAGAGGAATTTGATGATTATGGGAATTGTTCAGTTTCTTACTTGGCATCATTTCTATCGTATTCGGTAATTACAAGAATTTTGAACAAGGAAACATCTGATAACACGGAATACAAATCAAATTGCAAAGCGCCTGTTGAATACAAATAAGGGAGAAATAGGCCTTGTTCCAATGTTTGGACAAAATCAACAAATATAATCAATTATTCTCTCTTAATTAAAACCGATTCTATTTTCTCAATAAATGAAAACCAGATTTTAGAACAGCTATAATAAAATATATTACTTCCGAGAAAGAAAGTCACTACGATTTATTAAAGCCTGGTAATTCTACTCAAAAATCGAATGTGACGAAAATCATAGGGTATTGTTTTCGATTCTTAACAAATAACCTTACAACCTAACTACTACCCCAATGTGGTTATATGGAAATTCATTAATCTTAGAGATCAGCAAATGTCATTAAATGATAATAATTTTGACCTAATTAAATTGAAGAACAATATGTGCCCCCACTCTGATACGATTGAGATGAGCAAATCGAAGACCACCTGTGAAACGTGAATTGTCCGTGGAGAGACGCAAAAAATAGTACGGCCTCGAATCATATTTGCAATGGTTTTGATACGCTTTTAATATTCTTTCGAAACTGAGTAGCTGATAAAGTAATTTTAAGTAGTTTCCTAAAATGCACTAACATCTGCGCAAGTCGGAAAAAGCTAACTTTAAATTTCATGAATCAAACTTACCTACATTATTCTCCATTAAAACAAACGTTCGATTGATTGATTAATCATTTAAATAAGGAGAAAATTAGGCAGAATTAAAATACGGAGACTAACCTCAAGACAGAATTTAGGAAGATATCCACTCTGTCGAGTCTGCACAGAAGTGACGAGCATCCAGTCTGAGTGAGATTCATCATCCACAACAAGGAATTCATCGTCAGGTTTACAGCTGAAAAAGGATATGCAGATATTTCTTCAATAATTCACTTATTGCAACGATCTTCTGCAGTAATAAAACCCGGTCAGCTTTCTTAGAAATTTGATAGGCTTCAGAAATCTGGTGTAACGATATTATAATCAATGTCCTCTGTTAGGAACTAATATCGGATCTTAAACTGTGTCATTTCTTGAAACTTTAACAGTACAGCGTAACTTAAAGAACCCGTATATTGGTCATTATTCGTTTCGTTAGTATGAAAATAACAAAAAAAGGTTTGCATAATGAAGTAAATTAATAAAAACACTTATTAAAATCGTAAATCACTAATTCAAAAAGAAAATTGGGAATAATGAAAACTGATTTGTACCAACATTGCATTTACTGGTACCAAGATAATTTTATAGATTTATTTCAAAATTAAAGGAAGAAAAGTATCATCTCAAGCTGTATGCAAAAGAGAATGCCAAAAAAGTAAGTGAATGTATCACTTCAGTAAATAATTATAATAATTATAGTAAAAAGCAAGACATACAATAGAAAAAAATTCGAAAAACTAATCTGTACTTCATTTAGAGTCAAACCCAAGGAAAGTTTATGATCTCACTGTTTATCAACTGAGGAATCATAAAAAAATTAAAAAAATAGTCAATGGTAAGTTCAGTAGAAACGAATTGTGCGCAAAAATGTCTGAAAAAAAGGTATGCTAAAAATTTTACCTATTGAATGAAGGACAATTTAGAAATGGGAGACTTTACAGACTTGTCAAATCAGAATTTGAAAATTGCCGTTCTTTTGTGGCAACAAATACATGCCAGTCATCTTTGGGAAGTACAATGAGATCTGTCATTGCAACGGGTCATTAATCACAAAATGAGATTTAACGTGGACCGGTTACGTCAAGCATCCCTTTGACTCCACTCTATCAAAGCTACTCAGATCCAACAATATGATCGGAGAACACAAATAAACATTTAGTTGAATGGCAGGGGGTGTGATTACGTAAGAAACCGTGTGTAGGTGTGCGTACTTTTAACTCCTAAGGTTGCAACCGTCCGAAGTAAACACGGGCACTGTAGGGAATCTATTGGCGTAGAGATCTTTGCGTGGGCGGACGGCCAACAGGGCAGAGGGGGAAAGCAAAATATGCTATTTTCAACCTCACGATGTTGCACTATTTCGACTGTCATGAGCATCTAGATCAATGCCCAGAAAACTAAAACCCGTTCTACAACATTTCATTTGAGTTTCAATATTTACAAAATTCTTCAAAATTTTGTCATCCAACTCAAGATACACGGTGATCACTTGAGATTCGGAAGAATGGTAAATGATGGACAAAGTGAAACAGTGACCTCATTTATAGATTAGTCGACCCAAGCATTCAAGAAGTACATACTTTAAAAAATTGGCATAAACTCATCTTAAAGAACAACTTCATCTAGCTACTCTGTTGATGTAAAATGGTGCAAAACAGAACTGCCCAGATTGACTATTTGCTTGCTCTCTTTCCCCCGCACTATTCAGAAAAGAAACACCAAAAATGCTGCATTATTTCTCGGTGTTAATAAGTGCATTTCCACTCAAACGTTGGATTTGAAATTACTAAAAAATTTCAGAAGATCAAATTACTACGTTAATAAAGTATAAAACAATATTAGAGATTCTGAAACATGAAACCCATGCTATGTCATGGACCGGCAAAAATAAACCTATGACATACGAGTCAATACTTTATAACCAGATAAGAGTAAGTTATTCCTAAATAAATAAGACTCAAGTGATATTAAATACCCAAAATTGCCATCGAAAAACCAAAGCTTACCCAAGTCGTAGATTGCAAGGTGGTTCATACCTTCGAATAGCTCTAACTCGACGTGTGTAGAACTCCTGAGGTGGCTGAAATCATTAGAACACCAATGAAAATTTTGCAATAGGAGTTCTCATGAATTATTCGGTGCGTATACAAGTGTATGTACGCGTGATTTATTTGTATCACATGTATGTAACATCTAGGCAAGCGAGAATGCTTTAAAGCTTGAGACACTTACACTACACGGAGGAATAGGAACACGTAAATATTCCCCAGGAATTAAGGGGCACTGATAGTATCGAGAAAGAATGCATTTCAAGCACTGGAAAAGACGCTCGCCAAGTTGGAATGATTGCAATCGTGGGACAAGTTTGTAATGTTGACAAACAAGCTTTGATGTAAGGAAAGAGAGGGCATAATAGAGGGATATTTGGCCAGTTCCTTCATTTTCGTAGATGCTAAGACGAAGAAGGTAACTGTTTGGAAGAGAAAAGCGCAGCAGTCTTTCCTCTGCATCCTGACGCGTAAGCTCACCATGAAAGCACCTAAAACCAATTAACCATAGTTATAAATCTAAAATGAAACGATACTGAATTGAAAAAAACTGGACCCGAAACTAGTTAAGAAAATTAATTTACACCTCATATTTGTGAAAATAACAAAGAAAACTACGAGTAAATAGTGTATATTCCAAAGTTTACGCAAATCCGGCAATTTAATACTCGTAAGTTGGTCTTAATCCTTTTAAATAAAGATATTACAAAAATATGTAAGTTAACTGATATTACAATTCTAATAACCAAGCATATTGTAATATATTATAGAAAAGTAGTACGAGCATTAGCTCATAAACTAAAAAATAAAACTACTCACTCAGGGACTTCTGGGATTTTCCACTGCCCTGAGCTCTCAGTACAATGATCACTCGCCATTAGTTTAAGTAATATTTATAAACAAGTCCTACAATTTCAGGTATCCCGCCGGCATGGTAAATTTAGCCCATTACTTAAACGAGCTGTTTTGTGAAATGTGAAATATTTGCCATAAATTATTTAAGTATTCTTCTCCTGTGTTAAACCAACTTTAGATTTAAATTTAAAACGCGAATATTTATAGTTTTGGCATTTCAGGTAAAATCTAACAGATGAACATAAGCATTGAAACAGATCTTACATAATCGTCAACTATTTTCTACATGTTTGATTTGAATTTTGACCTCTTATTTCTAGCAAAGTAATTTTATAATAAATTCCATTGTTTAGTAAATGTAATGACAATTATTGTGCATAAGATTTAAAGAAAAATTGTTTAACAAACATGAAAATTTGTTAAAAAATTGAAATTCAGGAAGTAAACTTTTTAAATACATATTATATATTTTGTGAAATTTTGCGCTGATGCTCTTTTCTTTGTGTTCTCGAATCATTTTCTATCTTCCACAATCAATAATGAATTAAAATTAATGCGCTCCACATATGACTTTCTTATTTTTTGTGATTCCTTCCTATCCAAGGCTATCCTTTGAAAATGTAACATATATCACTTATCACCCAAGTGCCAATGGTGTCGCCGATTGTTTTCACGGACAGCTTAAATTAGCTATAATCGCAATTTCTTCTGCATTAACTTGAACGTTACGCGTTCCAGTCGTTCACCTCGCAATTTTAAATTCTTTTGATTAATACCATGGATTTTTTCCTGCAGAAGCTGCATATGGTATAACTCTTAGTCTACCTGGTGAAATGATTGTCGTCTACCATGACAAAGACACTATCGACTTCATATCGTAACCCTTTCGAATAAAAGGTCATTTCAGAGCTTTTCTCCCAATACCCACATGTCTGAATGATAAGGCACCTCATATTCATACAGACCTATTCACATGGTTCTTCGCTTTTGTTCGAAAATACAAAGTAGAGAATGTCTTTGCAGTAGCTGTATGACGGACCTTTCTAATTTCTCAAAATATAACCCAGTTTCTTCTTGATTGCAACGATACTAAATATTCGAAAGTATCGACAGGTTAGGGCCCGCATATTTTGCCCTTCCTGCTGCATACTCGCCGAATAACTCCTCCTCTACTCACTCCAACTTTCCTTCCCCTACCTCCGCATCCACGGCTAGGACACACTCGTCTAATACTCCCGCCCTAATTTCCAAAGACGCTATACATCCTTACACTCAGTCATAACAGTCTTTATCCTCAGATAATGTCAATGTTACCGTCTCAAAATCTTCCTTATTTCAAGCATAAAATTTTTCACTTGTTTCGGTCGGAGGTTGGCTTCTCCTCTCAATTGATCCAACATGCACAGTGTCTAGTTATTGAACTTTTTACCGTTTTAGCGTCCTGTCAACGGTCTAGAGGGAGGGTATTGCCCATTGCCCAACGCTATCATGGCTGGACGGAGAAAAATCCTCATGGGCACTCAGATAGACTCGAAGGTGCAGCCTGTGAGCGCAGAGACCTCTCAGCCAACCACCAATCAATGGTCCCGGCATTGTTTAGCTAACTCTTCACTGTGCTATCTCGAAGAAGCAACTTGTTAGTGGCACACAGCCCGAAAAAAACATACTGAACGTCATACGTCTGCTTTCCCAATAGCCTTTCGGTATCCTTGCTAACCCTGGGAACCATTCCAAAATGGGGCATCTGCCTTAGAAATTACTGAGCTTATGTCAAGGCTTTTAGTATAGAAATCGCTATTATGCTAGGGCAACATCGATGTATCATGAAGCCGTAAGTTATTTGGTTATGATATTTCGACTACATATGTGTGTGAGTGTAATATTACCAAATTTCCAGTGTCTTGTTTCATCCCTTGGCTTTCAGCAAATGCTTGTCAATGGTGTCTAGTACTCATCAACCTATTTTGAATCAAGAAGGGTTGGTTGGTTAAAGATTCAATTACTTTTTTTGCCAATGGTAGAGAAACCAGAATGGCCCTACAAGATTTTTAACACCTAATGTTTGAACATAGCAGATACGAGATTAAGTAACATTTTAAGTTAGCAGAGTCCCTTGAGCTCTGTTCAATTAAAGTGAGAAAAGTGTAATAAACGTATTGTATGCTAAGTAGGCTTTATGAAATTTAACTATATTCCGGGTTAGACGAGAATGGAATTGCATAATATGCCATTAAAGGTATATTTTCGAATGAATTCAAACTCTTTCGGCAGATTTTGGAAATAAATAATACAAATGAATTTAATCACCATAATAACCTAATTCCAGCCAATTGTAATTCACCAAAATAAATCAGCATTCTTTAAAAATTGAAGCAACAATCACAATGGAGCTAAGCATAAAAAGCATTAATACAGGTTTAATTATCTTTCGAACACGTAAAGATTACAGAATGATGAGCCCCTATTAATTTGCATACTTTTTACCTTGCTAGCGAAATGATTCCTGGACCTAATTATAACAACCTGACAGTAGTGTTTCGCATGTCTGATCACGCTGCAACTTCAAGATCCCGTTAGAGAATCGCACAGTGTCCTCGAAATATTTAATTAACTTAGAAAAATAAGTTAATTAAATAGCACTACAATGTGCGCTTAGAGGATTACGTTACTCAAATTAGCGATGCCAGGACCTAACTCATCTGTTCACGACACATTTTTAAGAAATCAAATTAAGCACCTCTTATGCTCTCACAGAGGGGGAGTAGGTGGCATAAATTCGCTTGTAATTTATCATCTAAGCTTCTTCTGCCATCCCAAGGAAGACCTTCGTCTGAAATGGACTTGAAGAAATTCAGGGCAACCGGGTTTGATTCCATCTTTACTTACCTCAGGATCTGTTAGATCGTGAGCTACCTGATGATCTAGTTAAATTCCATGGAGATTAGGATCTAAACTAGTAAACAGACATTTTCCAGTGCCAAAGAGAACTCTATTCTATTCGAGATTTATGTTTGGTATTTAATTGAAATAGTTGCATAGAAGTGATTCAAATCAAAACACTGAGTGAAGATCTAGGTAAAATATTCAACTTAATTGATTGTGAAAATCTGCACCGCATCTACGACTAAAATTCCAAGTAGATCTGTACTCAAATTTTCGCCCCGTATCGATGGTTGTTCAGAGAAATAATAATTTAAACAAGTAGTATAATGTTTGATGTCTGAGATTAGCTTCTGTATAAGTGAATAAGACAAACCTTAGCGTTTTTGACGGTCAATTAGAAAGAGTCCTAATAACTTATGATTATTGAGTTTGATCTTCTTATAAATGTTGAGAAGAGGATTAAGTCAAAACACATTTTGACGCGTCATTTTATAATTGACATTTGTGTAATTCTAAGGCTTGTTCAACAATGTGCTAGATATCTATATAAAATGGTCAAATTTAGCACTTCCATTTAGTATTCATGGGCATAAATCACAGTTTGAAATATTCCGATTCAATAATCTAAACATCAAACCCACCGTGGTTAATAAATACATATTTTATAATTCTTTTGAAATGTATTATCATTTAGCGTGAAAGAAAATGCAGTTTTATATTGATGTATGAATATTAAGAAGATCACATTTGAAACTTCAATAACAAGCTTTCAAATTACCCTCCAATCAATCTTCACTAATAGTGAAATAAAAATAAATATACAAAATTTGGATCATAATTATTTACTTTATAAGGAAACTCAAAAACTAATTTAGCTTCAATTGTTCAAACGCTCAGACGACCTTAGATCAAAATTGTTTTTAATAGGCAGCTGGTGAGAAATCGTAAGGGGAGTGTCTATGTAACATTGGCATTTTAGAATGGAGAAATTCATAGAAGATGCCAAAAGACTGTTTGGTACTGATAATTTGTATGAACTTCTTGGATGTGAAAGAAAGAGTACTGAATCCGAAAGTAAATCGCATTTTCTTTAAGTTTCCTTAGTTAAAAGGGCCTTTTACAAGAGCTCTCTTAAACATCACCCGGATAGGCACATAGAAACTAAGAAAGCTTTAGCAACAGAACGATTTCAGGTAATTTCGCACGCTTTTGCTATCCTCTCCGACAAAGAATCCAGGGTCTTATATGACGAATCTGGTAATTTAAATCATGTTGAATGAACCATTACTCTAGGTGTAATTGGCGATGCCTACTCTGAAAAGTCATTCGAGGACTGGCGCGATTACTTCAATCACATTTTCCCTAAATTTACTGAACAAGATATTGCAGAGGCAAAGAAAAAATTTGTCGGTAGTAAGGGGGAAAAAATTGAAATCGCCAAGGCTTATGAACGTTACAAAGGTGATATGGACAAAATAATGGAGACAGTTGTGTTTGCTGAAGTTTTTGAAGAAGACCGCATCCGGAGTATAATACAGGAACTGATTGATAAGCGAGAAGTTCAGCCATATGACGCATTCATTAAGGAACCTGCTAAAAAAAGGGCACAGCGCTTAAAACGCGCTCAAAAAGAGGCAGCTGCTTTTGAAAGAATGTCAAAACGAAAAAAGTCTGATGAGAGTGAAGAAGCCTCTCTGCAATCTCTTGTGATGTCCATTCAGAGTAACATAGAGAAGCGGCAAGCAATGGCTGATAAATTCATCGATCAGCTCGCTGCTAAATATGGAGAGCAACAGAAAAAGAAATGCCATGCCCGGAAAAGGAAAACGAGCAAGTAATGCTTTATTGATGAACGTGGTTTATTTTTAAGCATTTGAAATAACAAGATTAATAGAAATGTCATGTAGCTTCTTTTATCCAAAATGTTTCCTCGAAATCTGTTGAACTTTTCTGAGGAATGCTTCGGAGGTAATTCTTTCATTGCTTTCGTAGAACGGGTTAAGTGATAGCTACATGCTAAATGATTGTTTAATATGTGATCATACCCGCACGTAGGCCTCATATACGTCCTGGAAGAATTGCCTTACTTTGTCCTCGTTGAATTCTTCATGCAAGAAAATGAATCTAAGACGTAATTTAGTTAAGGCTTATAATGCATGGCACGAGACAACAGTGAGCTAAGTGTAGTTTAAAAAGGATATCTGATGGAGCGACGAAGGCGGAGATGAGCCATTCATTGAACCTGTCAACGATCTTAAGATAAGTCGATGATGATAGCCACATTTTTTCGTCCACCATATCCAATGCCGAATGGGCAACAAACTGGTAGAGGTATCTGATGTCATTCTATTGAACAAGGTCATCATAGTGAACATGCAATACCTTTGGATCTGCGTTTTTTTGTGTTTGGCCTTGAGTGATTTCGAAGAGAGGTATATCTTCTTGACCCACTATCACGAAGTAATATGCCCCACGCATCTAAATGCCGTTATTAATAAGTGTATAAAATTGAAGCTCAGTAGTAAAATCTGACCGTCTTTAATTTAACTCAACAAAGTGTAATAGAAATGGAAACGGTCATGTAAAAGTACCAATAAGCAAATTTCAGTGGTAGAATCAAGTAGACGGCAGATATTCGGTACATAATAACATTTCGTAAAAACACAACATATAAAACCTTTCAAGTTTTATGAATTCATTTTAAAACTATCGCAAAATGAAGATGCTAAAATTTATTTAAATCTTTCTTCTTTGCTCTAAAACCGTTTAATTAAAATAAAATATATTAACAATAAATAACTTACAATAATTAAGAAAATTGAATTTTCTTGCAACTCGTAATTCAAACTTGCCCTTTGTCCAATTTCGTAATTGATTGTTAGCTTTGCTAGAGGTCGTGTTTCTTATTTTAAATGTCCGTATGTAGATGTTACTTATCTTTAACCTTTCACATAGATGGGTTTCGGTCCGGATGATTCAGGTATTCTTGAATTTAAAACCGAAAAGGAAGCCGAGGAGTATCTCAATGAATTAGGTCCCAAATTCAAATATGGCTGCTATCGACAAGGCGATCCAGCTTGTACGTAGTATGTTAATTTCTTGCATTTTATATATTCTCCAACAGACTGCCATTCTCTGGCGCGTTGGCTTGCTAGCCACAAGCGTGACTATAGACAGTCTGAAGAAGTCTTTCATCAAAATTGCTTCCAGCGTCAATTTTCGGAAAGTTGCACTGTGTATGCGTTCTACAAACTCTTTGGTGCCTCGGGAATTAAACGGAATGCTAAACAGGCATTTGAGGCTTTAAAATTTGGTTGTGATACCGGTGAAAATGCCAAATGTTGCCAGGTTTGAATGTTTTAGTATGTCATCGGGATTGTTTCAATGGAATTTTCGAATCTTACTAGATTTCAATTAGTTTTTTATGAACTTGCGCAGTTATCTTCTATGTTTTGTTATTCTTTGCGTCGATTTTTACTTTTCTGTATTTCCATATTCCTTAATTTTTCATTGCATCTTAAGCTTTTGTATTTATTCTTACAACTGTATTCTCCCGAGATTTTTTGTTTTTATTTCTTATTGACTTCATCTTTTTACCTTTCATCGTACATTCTTTAGTTTATAGATTTGCCCATTAAAAATTGCGTTGATTTTCTGAAGAACAGTGCGCAGTGTGTGTTGCTTTCGGCCTCCCGCTCTAGTTATTGCAGGAGTCTTTTAGTTTGTCCGCGATTAGATGTTGTAATCTAAACATCTGTAGTTGGGATGTAACTAACTATTTACTTACTGATAGCCAGTACACCTGTCGTTTCGAATCTCGTCTCTGGAATCCCCAGATTAACTTCCTAATCAGATCGAGTATTTTAAATAGTTTTTAGCTCTCAATTATGCTTAATCCCATTATTATTTGGTATTACTCAAATTTTACCATTTTTACCACAATCTTAGGGCGCTGGAGAACTAATACTCGAAGGAGTGGATGAAAATAAAAATCAGAAAGAAAGGGTTGCGGATGCGATGAATTATTTTACTCGTGGATGTGACTTGGGTCTTCCTATCAGCTGTTTCTTTCTCGGTGGCCTATCTCATCGGCAATTGAAGGCAACAGGTTTGACTGATCCCTCCGAACGCTCTCAGCTTCAACATTCAGCGGTTATCGCTTGGGTTAAAGCCTGCCACATGGCTGGACATGAACTCGCATGTCGCAATGCAGCACTAGCCTATCGTCTTGGATATGGGGTGGAACGGAATGAATCTAAAGCTATTGAGCTCGAGAAGCTCATTGAAAAACGTTCTTCTTAAGCTTAGCATCTTGATACAATTTTTCATCCTCTCTTTTCTGAGTTATAAATGCCTGCACATTGAAAGAATCCGTCGTGTCTTAAGTGGGGTTCGAGGGATCTACGTGATAATTAGTGATAATTGTGTTGATTAAGCTTTTTCTAATGTTCCTAATAAACTTAGAGCGATGGGGCTATTCCAGCATGATTTTAAGCTTTTAATGGATCAACCTGGTATTGCCTGAAGAAATTGTGATTAAGTCTTACTTCGCCTTGTGCTAGTGACAGGTTAGCGCTTTTTCTATAAATAACGCCATCTGATGTGCCTCTGCCTCAAATGAATGCTGCCTACTCCACTAGTGTCAAGATATATCACATGAATTTAATTCGTACATAAAATGTAGATAAGATCTGGTAACTGTGCTGCCTTGGTAGGCGTTTTTAAATGCGTTTAGGAAAAGTGAACTTCGGAACTCATATGTTGGAGGGTGGCCCTGTGGTCAAATAATAGATAGGGAGCCATTGCGTGCATACGTGCGCTCAAATTAGAAGGCTCGAGATGCGATTTGAAATTGACTTGAATTCTCTCTGAAATGTACTGCCCCATCATAAAGGAGCCCAAGAAATAATGGACAAGTTATTCGTCCAGAGCATCGGTGAAAGCGTCAGTTTTGAGTAAAATGTTCATAGAAGCCTAACGTTTATGAATTACATTCTTTTTCGTGATATGGCAGGTTATAATCCTTGAGTAACAAACGGATTTTCATAAAAATTTATCAGCGAAAGTAGCTGTCACGAAGAATTATTTCGTCAGCAGGAGCATTGGTCGTGTTATTCGAGCAATTGCTTCAAATTACCCAATTATCTCTAAAATGAGAGTTTAACTAATGAAATTTAAAACGCCACTATATCGCATTAAATTAATCTTTACATACAAAGTATAATTAACCTCATAGTTCAAATTCTAAAATTATTGTAGCAGAGTTGTATTTAACATTCTTCCAGGATTCATTTTTCTTTTATCTATTAGTGATGACCAGCTAACTTTTGGCGCACTTTTGTGTGGTTCACGCTTGTTCTTGTTCGGTGATGGATTTTGGAGATTTGGGACAACCTGATGGACTAAAGGCCCTCGATGAATTTCTTTTAACACGAAGCTACATCGACGGGTTTGTTTACGTACGTCCTTTATCTTATTTCCATATTTTTAGATACCAACCATCCAAAGCCGATACTTCCGTTTTTGAATCTATTTCGAAAGTTCCAGACGCTAAGTATGTAAACGCTCTCCGCTGGTATAATCACATTAGATCCTTTGGTGATCAACAAGTAAAACTTCCTGGTAATCCCAAAGGCTTAAATTCAATGACAACTAGTTTTATTCTTTCCATTGCTCTAATTTAACTTGACCTTTTCTCAACTGTTTGTTTAATTCATTTTTCGTGATTCAAGGCAATTGTGCACCAGTAACAGTAAAAAAGAATGAAGAAGAAGCTGATGACTTTGATCTTTTCGGTTCCGAAGATGAAGCGGAGGCTGAGATGCGTCATTCTGCTGCTCTCGCTTCATACAATTCCAAGAAATCTGCCAAGGCCAAGCCCGTTGCTAAGTCTATGATCATTTTAGATGTGAAACCGTGGGATGACGAAACGAATATGGATGCTCTTGAAAAGTGCGTTCGCAGTATTGAAGTTGACGGTCTCCTCTGGGGTAGCTCAAAATTGGTCCCTATCTTTCAGGGAATTAAAAAACTGCAAATCACCTGTGTCGTTGAGGACGACAAGGCATGTTTGTTCATTAAAAACTTTTTTTGCTAATTGTCATGCTTTTCTCGGCTAATCACTGCTTATTTTTAGGTTGGTACCGATCTCCTCGAAGAGGAAATTTCCAAATTCACTGATTACGTTCAATCTGTTGATATCGCGGCGTTTAACAAACTGTAAAATGGCCATTGTATATTGTCTCAATATATAATTGTTATAGGTTATGTACAAATCTCTTTTTGTTTTTGTTGTTTTTGCTTTTTAATACTTAATAATTTTGAATAGTAGTACATGAGATATCCTTGTTGAGTTTGAATTACCGTGTCGATTATTAATTAACTGGAGAATTGAATCCATATGGGTATTGATTTAAGTTTAATTGTGTCAAATATATGTGTTCCTTATGTAATTTTTTGCACTGCATTAGTGTAGACATTATGCGTTCACCTTGTGAACTGGCTGTGATGGGGCAATATTTTTTTGTCTTGATCTAGCCCAGTAAATGGGATACTTTAGATGATTGTTGATAAGAGTTTTAAACTTCACCTGCGTCGCGATGTAGGAATTTGGCTTTTGTTTAGAAAATTTACTTATTTCAATTGGCAGGCTTTATGATATTTATCATTAGCCCTTAATCTTTGACTTCAGCTTCCCCCAAGAGAGGGGGGGGGTACATTTATAGCAATTAATTAATAGCAATTCATTAGCTGTCTTCTTGCTTCCCAGTATCTTTGGCTTTCCGTCCTTGTCTTTTGGGCTGGACACCGAATCAGATGGGTCTTCTCCATTTCCTCCTGTAGGTTACATAAAGGGCATGTGGGTTGAGTGTATACTCCCAATCTGTGAAGGTGTTTTGCCAAGCAATCGTGTCCGGTACGTAGTCTAAACTCAGCAACGGCTTCGATTCTTGGCCAGTCGGCTATGTCGGAGAGTGCCACTGTCCACTGTTTCTCCTTTGTTCGAGCTTTAATTTCGTTGCACCTTGAGGTATGAAATTCTCTCCTGATTAAGGCCTTCATTGTGTGGAAAGACATCGGCCGGTCCATGCATTGCAAAATCGTTGTCCCCTTCTTAGCAAGTGTGTCAGCAAGCTCATTGCCTTTAATGCCACAGTGTCCAGGAATCCATTGTAGGACCACTGTTTTGTTTTTCTCTCTCAGCAGCTTATAGAGTTTTCTACATTCTTTTATCTCAGCTGTTTTGGGTGGCTCTCTGTTTCCAATTGAGTTTATTACTGACTGTGCTCATCCGCATAGAGTAAGCACTTGATGCCTGTGACTGTCTGTACCAATTCGGCTATGTCATTGATGAAGACATTGAAAAGAGTGCAGCTTGTGACAGCTCCCTGTGGAAGACCTGTTGGTAAAAGATTGGATTTTGATAGAGCATTTCCGTATCTTCTCTTTCCATAATAAGTCATATGCTGATTAGAAATCGACGAAAACAGCCGTAAGGGTAGTTCTTGCATCAAGGACATATTTGATGTGTCGGGAGAAAGTGGCTACTTGTTGGTTAGTTGATCTTTGTGGTCGAAAACCTGCTTGTTCACTCCTAAGAATATTGTTGGTCTCAAGGAACCAGGTCAGCCTCCTGTTAACCATTCTTTCCATAAGTTTAGCCAGTGCGCTTGTGAGGGAGATAGGCCTATAGTTNCGTCTTCCGTTCTTCCAGACTGATCAGCAGTGTTGCGAAGGGCGTCCCTCTTTCTTTTCAGTTCCTCAAGTTGTTTAGACCAAAACACTCGATAGTGTTTAGTCTTGCCTCGGGGAATAGTTTTCTTTGCACATCTGATCATAATATTCGTGATATCAGTGCAAAGTTTGTCAGGATGTTGATTGAAGTTGAGGGGACTTGTGTGAAGTTCATTGTCTAAAAGGTTTGTGAATCTAGGCCAGTCAGCCTTCTTGAAGTTCCATGATAGCTTAGTTGGCACTTTCCTTGACATGCTTTTGCTGCCGATGGTAATACTAGCAATGACTGGTTTGTGACCAGAACCAGGATCGTCAATTATTTTGCGGCGTGTATGCCCACTGATGTCGCTTGAAGCCAAGAGTAAATCAGGAGTTGTTCTGGTTCCATTGTGGGGCAAATATGTAGCCGGACCCTCATTGCTGTAAATAAGTTCCAGAGGGTTGCTCTTTAGCATGTCTTCGATTTCCTTTCCAGCTGTGTTTGTATTCTTGTAGCCCCATCTGGTGGAATGGGTGTCGAAGTCTCCTAATACTATAGTTTTGTGTGAGATGTTTAGAAAGTCAAGGTTGGGACTATTCTGGGGTGGATTATAGACTGCATATATCTTGAAGTGGTTTTGACATTTCCAAACATTTAATCTGATTATTTCACATTTGTCTTGTGTCGAGACCATACTCTTGATTAGATCGTAGTGTGAGGTGAGGCCTACTTTAACTCCAGTTAGAATTCCACTTGTAACTTGCCGGTATTTAGGTAGAAGGTACAGGGTGTAACCTGGGAATTGGTAGTACTTCAGTTTTTCATCCGAAATGTTTGCTCCCATACTTGTGAAAATGTCTACATCAAAGGTTTGTGGGATTTTCTGTACTTGGATCTTTTTGTCCGGAGACATTACTCCAGCATTCCACTGGAGGATCTGTAGACGTTGTGATTCGCCCTGACGAGGGCGATTTTTCTTATAGCCTTTTTTCAAGCTAATCATAATAAATCGAAGTCAAAAACGAATGCCGAGTGATGGACTTTTTTGTCGTAAGAAATACGTTGTCCAGGGTGTACCACGAGGAGGTAAGTCTATCGCGCACCCCTTGTTTAGAAAATAATCTCAATTGATTTTCAGTGAATTTCTTTTTTTCTCGCAGAGCTCACCATGTCCCGAATTTTGTTTAGAATGCTCTCTTCAATTTCCGTAATTCTCGCTTATTTCTTTTTCTATATCGCTTGGTGAGCTTGTCATAAAAATAGGGGGGACGGTCACAATAAGTCGTGATTCTGAGGCATTCTGGAACGTCTTCGACGAGTAATTCATTTGTGAGTTTCTAAATCAATACCTTTGAATTGAGGAACTTAACGTAGTAATTGTGACATTGAGTGTTATGTATGGAGGGCCAAGATGGATATATGGATAATCAAATGAGATTATTTTAACAAAGGGAGACCAATCATTTTCTCAGAAAGTTTGTTGTGTGGCCTGACAGTGATGACTCGAATATCACCTTTTGACAAATGATCAATGTAGTGTTAGTCCTTCTGGGTAGTTGGCACGTCGATTCATCTCCCAACTTTGCTTACATTCGTCATTTAAACACACAAAGGCTAGGCTATGCTGAAACATCTATAACTGTTAATCGTGTTTTTCATTCTCTTTTAATCCCTTTCCTGAACTTATAGTACTTACTTTAATTCCTTCGTAGACTCATTCTAGAAATCTCTCAACAAAACCAGTCTCATTTAGCCTGTTTCTTGTAACTGTGTTGGCTTCCCTTTTTCACCTCAAACATATGCCAGTTCTTCCAATCTCTTGAAAGACAGCTGTACTTTGCAGGAAGAAAAGCGTCATTTCTAAATTTAAATTGGTATGACTCTTAAAATAGCTCCGTCATACTCGTGCATTCACGATAAACAGTAAACGAATGAGGGAAGACTGAAGTTATATGGCATGGGTTATTTTATTATTATCGGATCAGTTCAACAATTCAGAAATTTTTTTGTAAAATCGAGGCAATTTCAGAAGATTAATTAAGTTAGTGATAAATATCAGTTGAAAGAAGTTAGAGAAGAGAAAGGATTAGTGGCTGGCCAAATTTGAGTGCCCGGCTCGCTCGCGCATTTTGTCCAGCAGTGGAAGAAGCATGCCAAATCTCGGACGTTTTCCCGGATCTTCGTTCATGCAGAGGTCCAACAAACGCACAATTCGAGCGTCCATGCTAGCCAACCGTGGTAGACGCAAGCTTTCCGTTGTCACCTAAAATGTACCATATTTCACGATTATAATTCATTCTGAAACAAGTCTTTATTAAAACATAAAACTATGGGAAAAAGAATTGGAGGACCACTTGAATTCATTTTTCATCCGGTTGATCAACATTTGCCTAAAATTTCAGCGTTTTAAACCCTAATTCAAACTTAAAAATCTATCCAGGTAGTATTCTAATTAGTCGGAAATGAGTAAATTAAGAAGCTCCATATTTCCATTACCGCATATCGAAATCTACTAAAATTCACGTTTCATTACTATGATGGAAAAAATTAAGCTATAAATAACACAATATAAATTATTGCACAATCACTCAAAGTGTATTAAGTAAACGTGATTGCAATCACACAAGAATGTACATATAAGGTCACAATCAGAGGGTACAAAAGTTGTTCAACGCGAGAAAAGTGAAAAACCTACCTGCATTCCAATTACCATTGGATCTAGTCCTTCAAAAGGTTCCATTCGAGTAATTAGTTCCCAGAGGATTACACCGAAGCTCCACATATCCGAGGCCTGAAGATTTATATCCTGTGGTTTCTTCTGCAGAGCTGCAAAACCAATCGACAGAGAATGCGTGTGTTATTGGGGGGGGGGGGGGGGGGGCATATGGAAGGAAGGAGGGTGAGCGAGAGAAAGACTAACCTTCAGGCGACATCCAAGCGGGATTGTACTCTTGAGCCTTCTCGTGGAAGGAGAATTTGTAGTCGGCCATGTCCAAACGAGCGGTCAGCATCTCGTCCTCGGGCATGTCATTGTCTATAGGGCTTCCAATCTTGGCCACATCCTCGTCCACCTACCACGATACATATACACACCCATTTATTATTCCCAGTTGTTTGCATCTGAATCACACACCTTGTCTCAAGCAACAACCTTTCCGTCACAGGCGCAATTACCAATTAAGTTTAAAAAGCGATGTAGTTGATTTCTGATATCGAGTGTATTGGGCATGGCTTGAGAAATAAGTAGTAATAAAAAATCATGCGAATAATTGATTTGTGTTTGTGCAAAATGAAAATACGATTCATTCGAGGCCTAAATGACAAGTAAGGGAGGAATCACTACTTGAATTAAAACAAAACATTAACACATAACAGTCCCCTACATGAACTCATTTTAAAAGTTATAACTCAGTCACTCTGGCCAATATCTTAAACCAATTATCCAAATACAAATTTTAGTAGGATGAAGAGTCGCTACAGACAATGGACCTAGGAAAAGGGTCAATTTGCTTATATTAAATAGCATTAGTGAGCCACGAATGAAAAGCATGTAAGGCAAACAAGTCAATGCAATAATCCACTAAGTGAACATGTTGGTACAGATTAGAGCAAAATTTTCCAAACTGCTACACCCAACCTAACTGTTTAGCAGTGAATGCAAATATATACTCCGTATAAATGCTTAGAGTACACATTGTTTACCCTAAATCTAACTGGATATTCTTAGTTTCTGCCAATAAAGAAAAGAGATGCCGAATGTATAATTGCCCGATCAGCGGTTTATAATAATAACGGAAAGGTAGAGAAAGGTGCTTAAGCCTTGCTCTTAGTTATGCAGGAGAAAAGTGTATGGCAAAATTAAACGCTCTTCTCGGGACCGTCAAGTTGGTAGATAAATACCACGAACTTTAATGCTTATAACTGATGATTGGATATTCCGAAAAGAGCACCTTAAAATGTTCAGGTTAACTAAGCTCGAATTAAACATTAATGCATAATGTGAGGCCCATGAACTGGTGCAAATGTGATCCGCGTTCTCAATGCACTCTCTAAGTGTCATAGTTTCTTGAATAGCAGATAACAGTACCAAACGAAGAAAACTGATTCCAGAGGCCGACTGAAATAAAATTCAAATGCGCTCAGTATGCTTAAGTAGTACTATTGGGTAATAAGAAATGTAACGATGTGTATCGAATCTCTGATCTCTAACATAAGGGGGCACCTATTGGTAACTAGTTACATATATCAATAGAATTTAATCAGGTTACTGATAATGTTGACCACATAACCTGTCTTCATTTCAATTCAACGGAGAGCAAAATCTTCACGCGCCTTGAGTACTTAATTTGGCATTTATGAAGTGAACGAATGGCGCGTTAAATAATACAGAACGAAACAATGATCTCGAAAGTGAGAGGTTAACTAACCAAAACATGGCGAGAGTTGAGTCTGAAATTTGGCACTTTCAATTCGGGAGAGTGAAGAAACTCCATGGCCTTGGCGATATCCAATGCGAAGCGAAGTGCCTGTCGCAGAGAGATTGTCGCTGGTGCCTGAGACTGACCATTCTCGTCTAACTGCTGTTGTTGTTGTTGGAGAGGGGAATGCAGAAGGCTGTAGAGCGACCCAAATGGCATGAATTCACTAATTAAACACAAGCGTGGTGTCGAGTTGAAAATTGCAAGCACTGGAAGAATATTTGGGTGATTGAAGATGCGCAGACGTGGAAACTCCTCTTTAAAGTCACGTGCCTGTCGATCGGTGTAATGACGGAGTTTTAACATCTTCACAACCACTTCCTTATTTCGAAAGAAGCCGCGCAAAACCTCCGCTCCGTGTCCATCAGCGAGAGCTCCAGAAAGTTCGACGTCGCGGGGATCCCAGGCATCCCCATCCAGTTTGTAGATGGTGGCATCACGAGCTCGTGTTTTCGTACCGATCCAACTCTGATCACGAAAGGGCCGTCGTCTAGTCAAATCAGCGCCATAGCTTTGAGCCATTGGTGCTAACATTGCCGCTGCCCGAGGCCGAGCGATTTCAAGTGGCGTGTAGCCATACTTATTTTCTTGCATCAAACTCGCTCCAAACTTGATCAACAACTAAGGAATAAACACCAATAACCTCATTTCTGGATGTTTTAAACCTTACATACAATGGAAATGCATAAAGTGCGTAATTAGAAAACTAAATCCAATAGTACAGTTAATTTTAACAAGAGTTCATAAAAAGGCAAGAGAATGTTTCGTAATTGTTTTTTGAAAATGAATGGATGAATTTTGCATGTTTCTTAATTAAAGGACAGAGAGTTGTTTTTCAGCTGGACAAACATTATAAGAGACTCGAAGAATACTGGTGAATATTTCAAATGAGGAGAAAATATCGAAAACTTCCATCCTGAGCCAAGACGATCTCCAAATTTGGAGAAAAAAGACAATACAGGTCATGAACTCTCGAACTTCAGTAAAAAAACTGGAGAGAAGGCAAACATGTCTGCTATAGACAAAAAGAGGCTTGAATGCACAAATCAGCAAATTTGAGAAAAGTTGTTAAGGGGTCAATAATGATAACAAGGTAGCTGACAATGGGATAAAGATTTACAAGTTAATACAAACAGAGAACTGGAAAATAGTAAATGCAGCCGTTAATCAAGTTGTACTACAGTTTTAGAAACGGAAACTTAGAAGCCCCTAATTTCGAAAAAAGAACGCGAAGTAAGGATACCTTCATACTTCGCATCTCGGTCAGAAACGAGTGATAGGAAAGCAAAAAAATAGCACTTCCATTAAGCTCAAAGCTCCACTTGTCCAAAAATCTCATTCACAGATTAAGACCTTCAAGGGAAAACAAATGCAGCAGTTCCATTTAAATTAACATGGATTCAAAAATATAATGCATCCATTAATCTGCTATAACCGGTAACTTTGACGCAAAAATAAGAGGACCTGCCTCGGCAATTTCATGATGATTCCAGAAACAGGCGTAATGGAGAGGCGTGTTGCCGTGTTCGTTGGGTGCATCTACGGCGAGACGAAAGTGGTTGAGCAGAAAATAGACAACGTCGTAATGACCGTGCGCAGAGGCCAGATGGAGAGCTGTGTCGTCCCCTAAATTGGTGGCGTTGACGCGAGCACCACGGGAAATGAGCAGCTCCACCAAAGCGCGCCTTCCTTCACGGGCTGACCAGTGGAGGAGGGAAAATCGATGTTCATCACCCTGATTCACGTCATTTTCACTCATGTCTAACCACAGACGCGTCTCCACCAAATTGCCTTCTCGCACATGACCTATTATCGCTTCCATAGAGCTAAAATCAATCACAAATTCAATCTTATGCTTATGAGTCACTAACTATTATTCATGCGTGCTCATGCAGAAAACAGTAAACAAGAACAAATATACAAAATATTTTATTTTTTTATTCATAGAAAGGTCTCTAGCGTTTTTTATACAGACAGGGATTTATTACAATTTCAGGCAAACTTGTAACTCGCACTGTTGAGAGGTCTTTTGATTTAAGAAGACGACCACGAGCAAAATAGGTGTCCGATGTGATTTCCCAGCTGATTATCTTGAAACCGAATGGCTTAAGATGTTTGAGAAACGTTTTGAACGATTTATCGAATCGACTGGCCACTTCAACAATCAATAAGGTGCCACTAGAGAAGAGTGATATTATATTAACATTAAAGAACGTACTTGGTCTTTAAAATGCGATTAGCTTCATAGAAAAAATCTCGGCAGTTTGTGCCCATCAATGCAAGGCAAAAGATTACGATATCAACAGATGAACTGGCTAGTGGTGTCTGAATTACAAATGTGATGAAAATATGAGTCATAAAAATATAAAATATTTATACTCACATGTGCCATATCACACACAGTGACTTCTTCGTTTACAGCAACTAAATCAAAGGAATGTACGACGGCATTTTTTTTCAACAACGATGCCAATCGCGCGTCACCGCATCCCATATCTGCAACAATGGGTATATTTTTGAAATCTTTCGCAATTATTTCCATTGGCCATGTTAAAGGATCATATGGCCATTTTTGCAACTGATACTGAAATCCCTCGTGGTAAATATTAAAAGCGCCAGGGTCATTTTTAAAGTATTCAATCGCATCATTACTCGAGCATTTATACAGTTTCTCATTCAAATACCGAAACCTAAAATTATAAAAAGATACAAGCAGAGTGCTTACATGGATGCTCGTATATCCGTGGTCAAAGAATCCTTTTTGACAGGAGATTTAGCATTTTGCAAAGTACAAGATAAATTTTCCTTCAACTTTGCTTTAGATTTTCGTTTATGCTTCCCAACAAAACTGTTGTTAACATTTCCTGTAGATTTCTTAAGAGCAAACTTTAGACCATAAATGAAATCTTTGTCCATTGCCTGAAGTTACAAAATTGGCACCCATTAATCGGCTTATATAAACTGTCTCATTGAACAAAGACATAATTTATAACTTCAATAAACTTTTCAGCATATAATTTTATCTACCAAAATTTAAATTTCTATTGTTTACCAAATCTTTATAATTTCCTTTAATCGTCAATAAACCCATTCAATTTCAAATAATATTGCGCTTTTCTCTATGATCCGACGAGGTAAATTTACCTCTTTTGTGCGAAATCGTATGATAGAAATGCGAAAAATATGTCTTTTATTGCGAATTGTGTTTGGTTTTATAAAATGTTCTGCTTTAATGGAAATATGAAATTGTCCACTATAGTCAGAACTGAATTCCATTAACTTTTTGACCAACTTTCCCTGCAATTCCTCATCAATCTAGCTCATTTTTTAATCTTTTATTCTGAATATGGCATTAGCCGGACTCTATTATTTGCCAAATTAATTCACTTTTTATTTTGTTCACTGCGTATCCTTGTTTATATAGATTTCGGCTAAAAGTTGTCACTTTCTCCTCTAACAAGAGTCGACGCATAAAGAATTGAGTTTTATAGAATGCTAAATGATAGCAATTCTGTTAAGCTCAAGCATCTAGATTAATGTGTTTTGAAAAAAACATAAAAGATTTATTAAATATTTTGAAATCGTTCATCTATCCTGTCCACAAAATTAATAAACATTATAGCGATCGAGTATGTTTAAGTAATTATTAATTGGCTAGGTTTCTACAGATGTGATATGTCAATAAAGAAACGAAGTGAAGAGAAAAAGGTGTGTGAAGAAATATGAGGGTTAAAATGGTGTTCTTGTCTGCGCCTTTTATAGCAAAAGGAGTTTTTGCATTTAACTCACTCATGTGTCCTGCACTGACAATTTTGATTTATAAATAGGCCTACTTCAGTTCTTCGGTCTTAATCTGCTTTGAATAAGTATACAGTTTGAAAAATCATGTGATAGTATAATTTCTTGAATGGAGTTTAAATTAGTCCGTAAATCTCTCGAAAAGTCTCCCATTTTCAGGCGTCATTTTAAGAAATCCCATGTAGACATGAAGAAATCTGAATAGAATAGAATCAAAATAAGATAGTCCTAGTTGATCGATATGCTTTGACAATTGCAAAATTTTCTAAAATCATCCCCCTTTCCAGGATCCAATTTAAGACAGGTTGCTAAATTTAAATTTTGTGGTCGCAATTATGCAATGTGAGTGCTAATGAATCTAAAAATACAATTGGGTAAAAATGTGTCACGTTTACCTAGTTAAATTAGACTTATAACTGAAATTTTATTATAAAGCTTCATTTTTGCTTAGAATATGTACGATTTTATGCATTTCATTTAATTATCAATATTTAGCAATTTTTACAAATTTCAGTCAGATAAGGTGGACTTTAGCCAGGACTTTTTCAAAAACAATAGGCAATTCACGGCTTCTAGAGGGACCACCAATATATCATGTCCTAAATCATTAAAGTTGTGGCTTAGGAAAATGTTATCATTCAATCCAGGTTCCTTACCGAAGTCCATGCCATTTTGGAAAGCTATTTATTTGATTGAATCTCATCTCCAATTTAAGCACATTCAAAGGAGAATTAAAGCAGGATTAAGATATAATTCAACATAGTTTGAGCTCCACACTGTGAATTGTGGGACACACCATCGCATGCGTGCACAACCAATGGCTAATCAGAAGCCTTCGTTCGTTTAAGTAGATCCGCCATTTTGATCATGATTTACCCTCCGGTATGTACACTTTAACCACATTATACTTCCTAAATAAAGTGCTGCATGCGATACGTCTGTTGCCTATATATCTGGGCTGTAGCTTAGCTAGTTCTGGAAGTCTAACTAGATATAGGGCAATCTGCCAAAGAGATTTCTAAGTCAGTCAAGGCCTTACTAGTGTAGCAATCCGCTACAAGTGCAATCAGATTGCTGGATTCGATCTTTGCGTTTTTTAAAAGTTAAAATATATTGATTAAGTGCTTTCCTGCGGCCCCTTTCTTGAAATTAGTCGTTTTGCTCTACCGAGGGGCACATTATTTAAGACGATGCGTGGAGATCTATTTTTTACCTTTTTCAATTGGCATTTTTGGATTCATTCATGCAACAAAGGAATCTGTAAGAAAATTTGTCTTCGTTTGAGATTTTGATAAGCTAATAGTGTTTATAAAATTATACTCTTAATAATAGGGACGTTAAAAATTTGCCTCCTTTGCAAACAAAGTCATAAACACTAATATATTTATAGCATTATGATCTCGTACCATTAATGATTATGTAGGATTAGGCAAAGGTTAACTCAATTCCACCCCCCTAAATGCATTGTTCTGGAAAAAATATTTTGCAGGCTATTGCGCGCTGCAAGGTCTTTAATTTCAAAGTCAAACAAAATCGACAATATAAGTCCGCTTTCTTCACACATTTTAGTAATACCTTGGAACTTAACTCTCCAAAATATTTAGAAGCACTTTTGGCTTGATTTACTTTCACCCAGTGAAATTACTTCGAAGATTCCGTAAATTCCAAATTAAAATCCGAAAATAGTGGCCAATCAATTTTGCTCCACGGGGCCGTGATCAAAGCTTCGTGAAACGTTGAAAAACATTTACTGTTCAGTTGTTTTTTTAATGTCAATAGTCCTCTCTTTTGATTATAAAAGAATCACAGTCTTTTGGTTCGAGTTTTACGACTATCTTATATTCACGTGCTTAAATACAGTTACCAGACCATTTGGTTCTGTTGCATATTGTGCTTCGATCTATCTCCTACTCACAACTGTTACTGTAGTGTATAGAAACCGAATCAACATTTGCTTCAATAAGCGATGACTATACAAAGTAATCTCTCTGGCAGATTTTTCAATACTTAGAAAGGCCATCAGGATTAGCTAAGATACCGTAAAGATACGTGGCATGAGGCATGTTTATTTGCGATTGTCCAATTACAGATGGGGAACTTAACAATAATACACACATTCTGGCAAGATAACCACGTAATGATTTTGACCATTGATTGGTCTTATAATCACATACTGGGTTTGGTCGTTGATTGGTCGGGAGGTCTCCACTTTTGTCATGCTAAAGTTATGCGCCCTCAAGGGACAGTATGAACGCCTTTACTAGAAGTATGCGCTCTTTTAGCTTTCTTTTTCATGTTTAATTCCAAGTGCAATTAGATACTATTCATATTGCACTCATTTGTGGCTCCTTAAGAAAGGAAACTTTGAGTAAAAATTGTAATTAAAGGTTGGAATAAATTTAATTTTTGAAACGATCACCTTTGTTTAACAGTAAAGTTCATTTCCAATGATTTAATATTTACCTTGAGAGTTAATTCGAGGGTCACGTTCAAGTGTTGATCCTTTATTTCAACTACCAAACGACAAGCTTTAATTCTACTAGCTTTCAACGTAGAAAGAATGGCAAAGGGTACAATTTCCATTCAAATAAGAAAATTTTTAAAATAATGCACTATGACAGTTATTAGGATTTGTATGATTATGATAACTAAAACTGTCACTAACATTATCTTCCATTATATACCCCAGTCAGAAAGTATTTTAACGATTAGCTTAATTTCAACAACTTTTGAAATGGCACTTATTTCAGTTTAATACTGGAATAACCCCCCTTACATTTATGTCGGTTCTCGATCCGATTATTACTCTATTTCAATAAAGGGTATACTTTTAATGAGATGCCATATATTCAAAATTCGTACCAACTCTTGGTTTTCCGAATGAAATTTAGAACGTTTAACCGATTTGCTGTCGACATTTTAAATGTACGTTTTAAACTCGAACAAAAAAATTTGATTTTCTCAGGGAATAAACTCTGACAGATTTCACATAAGATCTCAAATTTTAATTATGTTTCAATACAAAAATATAAAATGATAGCTTAGAAAATAATATACTTATTTGCATGAAACCATTCTTAAATAAAGATCTCTTTCAATACTATTATCTGAAAGCGTTGGAATTCGCATGACACTATCCTAACTGAACAAGGAAATCTCATGAGCACTCAGACAGACTCGAAGGTGCGTCGTTTTACTTAACATGTAGGGGCAAGTGCAATTGTGAGTATGGAGACATCTCAGCCACCCACCAATCAATAGCCCCTACTTTATTAAATAAACCCTTCATTGTATTAAAACAGCTAAGTTCCGTGTCAGTGAAAAACAGCCATACTAAACGTGCGTCCTCTATACTGTTGATGCAGGGTGGCTAATTGCGGGAGCCATTCCAAACGAGGAGAACTTGCCATGGAGATTACTGACCATAAGTCAACACTTATTTATATGGGAATAAATTTTGTGGTGTTCGGTCGGCTTATTAATTTTCGATGCCCGTTTGCCTAACATTCAAAATTAAATCAGGCCCAATTTAATTGATATAATATTAGCACTCTTTCCCATTTATGCCGCCTGTGTAGTATCCGAAAACGATTTGTGTTTAACTGCTTGTCATGTTTGCCAGTTCGAAGAAGACGTTTTATAATCTGTGGAGGAATAAAATAAGATGTAATCAGTGTTTTGAATAAAATAACTTCCCAGTCTTTGAGAAGCCGCAGCAGTTAGGAAAATTCTTCAAAGTAATAATCGTTATTTAAAGAAGGAGAAGCAAGCTTTCTATCTTCTGAAAACTATTACAAAAATAAAGCAATTCGTAAAAGGGAGAGTGTTGGAGATTTGTTAAAAACAGTTGAAAAGCAACTGTTAATAAGGTAGTGAAGACCACTTTAGAGGGAGATTCATTATGATCTCGCTTTTAGTATCAGTAGTTCCGTGTATAACCCGAAGTTTGAGGGTTTCCGCATTTGGTTTATACTTTCGTATTTATCAAATTAAACCAGTTAAGTTAACAGCTCTACCTCATATAATCTATGCCTTAATATGTTTGACCTACTTTAATGCTGCTGTCTAATAGAAAGTTTACAGTTTTATTATCCATAAACATTCTAACTAATTGCCCA